GATTTAGTGCATTTTTGACGTGGTAATTGCTCATAGAAAACAACGAAATTTAACAAAAGTTTTTTGTTCACAACTTTTAAATGGCTAATATTGGCTGCGTTTCTTTATACATTCCGGATAATCCCATTTCACAGCCGGAATAAACAGAATGCTTTTGAAATATACGTTAACATATCATCAGGAACGTTCTAAAGAATAAGTAAACAAAAAAGTTTATTCCAAACGTTCAGAATGAATAAAGAAATTCGGCCATTATCTCCCCCCCTCCAGATTGTTATTAGGGGGGCCGAAACGCGTCGTTTGGTACCCCTCCCGACTTTTCCGCACCTTTTTTAGGGGTTGTTACCCCACCCTAGAGAATTACCGCTGATACTTGAGGCCGCCGGATTGAAGGCTTGTGATGAAAGCGACAAAAGTGAGCCAGCGTGCGGAAATGCACCATCTGCAGAATCATACAAGCACAGCAGTGACAGTGGTGACAGCAATTTCGGCGACAGAGAGGCAAGCTCAACCCATAGCGGCTTGCCGGGCCCATCACCATCGGCATTCACTTCCACTCGTAGCGAAACACCACGCAGCGACATACAAAGACGAGCAAGTGAGAGTGATGAAGTGTTGCAACTCCTCCAAACACAACGCAAGAAATATGGATGCAAAAATAGATAAGTTGTTGGAGACGCAGGAGAAGTTGCTGGCCGTGCAAGAAAGATTCCTTGCGATCAAGGAGGAAAAGCACCGCATTCAACAGTCCTCGCGAGAAACAGAGCTAGAAATAAAACGATTAAAATTAGAAACATTAGCCATGGTAATTAATAATCTCAAATCTAAATAAAATTTGTATTCGCCAGCAGATATTTTATATTTGTTCGCAAACAACTATTTGCATCTGGATGAATCCTATGACACACCACGCTTAAGTTGAGGACACCATTTGTGTTTCGGTTCGATCCCTTTTCCGGAGTTATCTGCCTTAAAGAAGCTTGTAGTGAAAAACCCCACGCCATACAACCGCATAAAATTTTACGTCACGCCTTTTACGTTACCAAGATCACAAAGCATTCCACAAGGAGGGAGGGAAGCTTGTCTGCGATGCAAGTGCATCCCAAGGCATATATGTACAAATTCGTCTTGGCGCCACGGTCGCCACTATTGGTTGTTTCGAACCAAACTTTCTTTAATTTTTTATAAATTGGAGGTTTGGTTGTTATTATTATTTTTTTTTTTTAGTTAGGAATTAGCAAATTTTTTCTTTACTAAAAATATTCTGCCTAATATTACATTTACATTGAGCCCAAATGCGTCATTTGGGCGAGAAACCTCAAATGCGAGGCCAAATCACGCATTTCTCCATACAAATTCACATTTCCAGAATGACGCATTTCGACGCATTTACACAAAATCACGAAACAAATGCGTTCCAATTGCCGTACTATTTTATTGAACGCACTCAGAAACAAAAGTTCCACAAAAGCTTTGGTTTGTCTTTGACATTTGGAATTTTTCAAACACAAAACAAACACAACGAAATAAATAAATCTTTGAAATTTGTGTGTAAAATTGTTAATTTATACAAGAGCTTTACACATTTTTAGTTTAATCAAAGAATAATTGCCTTTTTGTGTCCAAAAAGCGTTAACAATATAATAAATGTAGTGTTTGTTTACATACATTTTGTTTTTGTCTTCCCTTTTCATTTGATGAGAAGTCAAAGCAAATGCGGATCAAGCAGTGTAAACACCTTCAAATGACTGATTTCAAATCACGCATTTTGGTCCAATGTAAATGTAATATTATCCTGAGTTGCACCCGAAAATTTGGGCGGTATTGTTATTGCGAAGCGAATGAATTTGGCGAAGCGAATTAAAACGCAGAGAAGGTATTAAAAGTGTACGCGATGCGAAGAACTTGCACAAGCTGGTAAAAGCGAACACTCTTAATGCATATTTAATTTGCGTCCGCCAATCCATTCGCTTCGCCAAACCGTTCGCTTCGCCAAATTCATTCGCTTCGCAAGTGACAATACCGCCCTTTGTCATCCGCACATAGTAAAACCATGGAAACCAAAAGTGAAAAGTGAACCGGTTCGGGGAAAATGAAATTGATGCTGATTATTGATACCGAGTGGCAAAAATGAGTAAATGAAATTTTTCAAATTCCTATTTTTACAGCCGGTTTCACCAGCAATTTAAATGGAAAGTGCTTTTTTATTTTGCTGTCAATTTCCATATATAATAAA